TGTTCCATTTATTCCTACTCTTGGCCTCCTGTCTGTGTATTAACGAATTCCCTTCCCAAGCTAATAGTTCACACCCACCCCCAACTCTATGAGCTTACCTATTAACTTTTTGTCTGGCACCTTATCAAATGCCTTTTGGAAGTCCAGGTATACTACATCTACTGGCTTCTCTTTATTTCTCTTATTAGTTAAGTAAAAGTTCTATTAAACTTATCAAACACGATCTTGTTTCCTCAAACTATGTTGACTTTGTCGGACCATATGATGATTTTTTAAGTGCATTGTTAAGACTTCCTTTCTTTACGGGCTGTGAACAAGAACTGATGGCTTTATCAACACACTAATGTTGGAAACGTTTTTTAAGAAACACTCATTGGGCTCCTGTGGTGCTGTCTTAGTGTCCCACCTGTTCCAGAGATGTACAGAAATATTGCTGAATAGGTCGATTAAAAGACATAAATCAAGCCACTCACCAATACCCATGGTTTGTTTTTTTTTTCCCTGCTCTGTTATCTCAAGTATTTTGAGCTGTCTATTACTGCAGGCCTCAGGACCCTGATATTGGGCTGACAATCTCAAAAGATCCCAAAAGATCCAGAAAAAGGCTCTGGATCTGCATTGATGTGCAGCGGAGGGAGCTCAGCTCAAAGGAAGTAGCAGGCTCCTAATGCTACTGGTCCAATCAGTTGTGAAGCTTTAGCAGCATTACTGGCTGACTCAGGGTCTGGTACCATTCAACCCATTATTATTTATCATGAAATTACAAGAACAGCAAAGCTATCATCTTGAAATTATACAGAACTGTACAGCACAGGAACTTGTTGAGCCTTGTGGAGCCTCGTGCAAGCACTTTTGGTCTCATGTAAGCAAATATACACTTCTCAGAGAGGAAGCACAACAAAGATTCACCAAACCTATCTCTGAGATTTCCCACAAGGAAAGATAAAATAGACTGGTCCTATATTCTCTGGAGTTTAGAATAATAAGAGATGGTATCATTCAAACATACAAAATTCTTATAGGGTCTAGATTGTAGGTGCAGGAAAGACGTTTCTCCTTTGGAGGAGGTCTAGAACTTCAGTTTAAAATGAGAAGGAATTTCTTTAATCAGCAGATGTTAAGTCTTTGGAATTTCCTATCCCAGAGGGCTGTGGAGCTTAATTGTTGAACATGTTCAAGACTGAGATCAAATTTCATGGGATATGCATATAGTATAGGAAAACGACATTGACATGGATCAGCCATGATCTCATTATATGGTGGAGCAGGCTCAAGAAACCTATTTCGTATGTAATCTGAATTCTAAAATAGGTGGAAATAAGTTGCAGTGACAACATAAAAATACCTACAGATAGATATGGATAGGTTATGTGAATGGACCAAAATTTGGCAGACGAAGTTTCATGTGGATAAGTGTGAGGTTATCCATTTTGGTCGGAGGAATAAAAAGACAACTTACTATCTAAATGGAGATAAATTTGAGCATGCTTCAGTGCAAAGGGATCTGGATATCCTCATGTATGAATCGCTGAAAACTGATGTGCAGTTACAACAGGTAATAAGGAAGGCAAATGGAATTTCAGCATTTGTTGGTAAAGGATTAGTGGAAAAGTAAGGAAGTGCTGCTGCAACTGTACAAGGCATTAGCGAGACTGCACCTGGAATATTGTGAAAATTTTAGTCCCCTTATTTGAGGATGGATTTAGTTGCATCGGGGGAGATTTACTAGATTGATCCCAGAGGTGAGGAGTTTGGCTTATGAATAGAGATGTCAACAGCAAGCCCAATGAGACAACCAACAACCCAGAACAGTTGACAGAGAGATCTGTAGTGTAGCGACCAAAGAAGAAAGAGACAAATTGGACCCCTCTGGAAGGCCACTGCCCTGGGTGTGATGTATATGCTCAGGCCATCAGGAGATGCATTAACGTTGGATTTATCAGTCACGCTCACAAGATAGCACAGAACATCACCCAGCACAACGCAATGCCATCCATGCTCTCAAAACCAATCGCATCGGCATCAAACCAGCAGACAAAGGAGGAGCCATTGTCATAAAGAACAGAACAAACTACTGCAAAGAAGTGTCCCAATAACTGAACAACCAGGAACACTACCGACAACTACCTGCCAATCCGACCAAAGAACACGCCCATCAACTCAACAGACTGATCAAGACCTTTGATCCAGATCTTCAGAGTATCCTATTCACTCTCATCCTGCGCACTTCTCGCATATGAGACTTCTACTGCCTTCTGAAGATATACAGAGCCAACGCATCTGGACGTCCCATCGTATCAGGCAATGGGACCCCTGTCTGAGAACCTCTCTGGCTACGTCAAGGGCATCTTAAAACCCATTGCACAGGGAACCCACAATTTCTGTCACGACACTACAGATTTCTTACAGGAACTCAGCTCCCGTGGACCAGTCGAACGAAGAACGTCCCTCGTCACAATGGACATTTTGGCACTGTACACCAGCCATCCCCCACGACGTTGGCATCACTGCAACAGCCTTGATACTCAACAGCAACAACTGCCAATTTCCAGACACCACACTCCAACTCATCCACTTCATCCTTGACTACAACGTTTTCACCTTTGACAACCAGTTTTTCATCCAGACACCCAGAACAGCCCTGGGGACCAAATCTGCATCCCAATATGCCAACATTTTCATGCTGAAGTTTGAGCAAGACTTCTTTGCTGCACAGGACCTCCAACCAATGCTACACACCAGATACAATCAATGACATTTTCTTCCTCTGGACTCATGGAGAGGAATCACTGAAATGACTGCACAATAATATCAACAAAGTTCCATCCCAACATCAGACTTACCATGGACTACTCTTCAGCATCAGTCTCATTCTTGGATACACGCATCTCCATCAACGGCGGCCACCTCAGTACCTCACGCTGCCACAAGCCCACAGACAACCTCACAATGCTGCACTTCTCTAGCTTCCACTCTAAAATTGTTAAAAAAGCGATCCCCTACGGACAAGCCCTGTGCACACAGAGGATCTGCTCAGACAAGGAGGAACGTGATGGACACCTAAAAGATGCTGAAAGGCACCCTCATAAGAACAATGCTCAACTCATCAATCGCCAGTTCCAACAAGCCACAGCAAAAAACTGCAACAACCTCCTCAGAAGACAGACATCGGACATGCATAATAGAGTGCTCTTTGTCATCCAGTACTTCCCCAAAGCAGAGAAATGACGCCATGTTCTTCGCAGCCTTCAACATGACGACAGACATCTCACCAAGATCATTCCTATGCTCCCACTTCTCACCTTCAAACAACTGCCAAACCTTAAACAGACCATCATTCACAGCAAACTACCCAGCCTTCAGGACAACATCGACCACAACACCTCACAACTCTGCCATGGCAACCTCTGTAAGACATGTCATCAACGACATGGACACTACCATCACACGTGGGAACACCACTCACCACGTACACAGCAGATACTCATGTGACTCAGCCAATGTTGTCTATCTCATATGTTGCAGGCAAGTATGGTATATTGGTGAGACCATGCAGACCCTACAACAACAGACGAATGGATGCCACGCAACAATCGCTGGACAGGAATGTTCCCTCCCAGTCGGGGAACACTTTAAAGCGGCCTTCAAGATACACAACAACGCAGAATCGCTGAGCAGAAACTGACAGCCAAGTCCTGTACCGATGGAGACAGCCTCAAGCACGATCTTGGGTTCATGTCGTGCTACATGTAACCCCACCATACTGTTCTGTATTTGTAAAACCTTCCTTACTGTCCTGTTTTAACACCATCACCTGGATAACTTGTTATGATCTCTCTGCTTAATTGATGTGTACAGTTTTGGATTACTCGTTACTTTGGTTAGACCCTCAGCATGCGACTCGTGTTATTCCAGCCGTTTAGTTTGTCTCCAGCACCACCTTATTTTTAATTTTCTGTAATTATCTCTCTGCCTCAATTAATCAGATTATAGGTCACCCCCTTCACTTACTATTCAGCAGTTGACACCTTACTCAAACCATCTGACACTTTTGATCATCTGCAGAGACTTATTATTCAACACTCCACTTACACCATTTGTATGATCTTTTGAGCTCTCGCTGCCCATGGATCTCTCTGCCAATAAATTCTGTGCCTGTTTGCTTCTTCTCACTTCATCTGATGAAGGGGCAGCGCTTCAAAAGCTTGGGATTTCAAATAAACCTCTTGGACTATAACCTGGCACCATGTGACTTCTGACCTTGTCCACCCCAGTCCAACACCGGCACCTCCACATCGAAGGGAGATTGAGCAGTTTAGGCCTGCACTCTCTGGTGTTTAGAAGAATGGGAGGAGATCTAATTGAGGTATATAAGATACTGAAGGGGATTGACAAAGTAGACGTACAGAGGGTGATTCCTCACATCAGGCAATCTTGAACAACAGGTCACAGTTTTAGGACAAGGGCTAGCAGATTTCAAACAGAAAGTGAGGAAAAAAAATGTACTTCTCACAAAAGGGTCGTGAATCTGTGGAATTCACTACTCCAGAATGCAATGGACATCGGGACACAAATAAATTTAAGGAAGAGAGAGAGATTTTTACTTAGTAACAGGTCGAAAGATTACGGAGAATGAGCAGGAAAGTGGAGTTGAGGCCAAGGTGAGATCAGCCATGATTTTATCAAATGGTGGAGCAGGCTCGATGGGCTGATTAGCCTACTCCTGCTGCTAGTTCTTATTCCTACTACCTAACATCACGAGTTCAGACCGACCCATGTTGAACTTGAATTATCCACTCTAATGCCCATTTTCCTTTGAATTATCACATACGTCATTTAGTACACTTTGTGATGAACTGAAAAATAGCCGGTAATGCCTGGCTCACTAATAGGTAATGTAATAAAAGCAAGTGGCAGCACCTTGCTAGGAATATGAAAACACAGGAAAAGTGGAACTAAAACTGGCATTAAAACAAAGGAAGTAGCTTGCTCTGTCCTACCTTTTCAATAGGTGGTGGAAGTTCAAATCTCTTAGCACAGACCAGGAAGCTGTCAGGTGCAGGCTTGCTTTTCTTCACATCAGGGTCATCGCCACACACAATGTGGTGGAATAAGCAGAAGAATTTCTTGTGCCTGGATGTCTTTAGGTTATACTTTTCCTTGGGTGAGCTGGTAGCCACTGCGATTGGCACATTGTGTTCGCTGAGATGGTGAACTAACCTCTCTACACCTTAGGGAAGACCAGGAAAAGGTGCAATAGTTAACTAATTTCAATCAACCCATTAGGGTACAACACCCAAGCATCTGTGCTCACGTATGTAATGTGCCTGCCAGCATCAACAGGCCTGCTGGGCTCCCAGTGGATGGCGTATGGAATGGCCAGGGAGGGGGAAACACAAATCATAGCAAAACTACATTTTTTCCCCTGTTCTTCCAATATGGCTGATTAACAGTGAGCAGTAACTGAGCCTATGATCAGTGTTTTCCCATTTAAATCCAAAATGCATCTCTTTAAGGGTAAACCAGAACAGCCCCAAGAGTCTGTTGACAGCAGGGGATGCTCACTGGAGTTTGTATTGGCTGCATTCAAGCCAAGGGCTCTGTAGTGCAGTGGTAGAGTCCCTGCCTCTGAACCAGGAGGCCCAGGTTCAAGAACTACCTGCACCAGAGGTGTGTAACAACATCACTGTACAAGTTGAACAGAAAATTTCTAAATTATGCCCCTACCTCTAGGTAAGAAAATCCAGGTTCTAGTCCCCCTTCTCCAGATGTGTGTGGAATAGCATCTGGAACAGGTTGATTTAGAACACAAAAGCTACGTTTCTCCCTAGGGTTGTCTACTGTACAGGGAAAGGATTCAAAAGGGTGGTGTGTGCGATAGATTTACAATAAAAGCCTTGTAAATCTCTTCACAATCTTTTGCTGCCTAATTCAACATATGGATAATTGGTCTGTGAAGAAACCTGTACCATCAGCCTGGGAGGAATCAGTGCATATGGCTAATTTCTCCTTGCTGTCATGACCAATACCAAATCTCCAACTGATATTATAAGAACACATTATCTGGTCATTATCCGATTGGTATCATGTCTTTCTATGAAGTAACAACAACTGTACGATGAAATATTATTGGCTGTGAATATCGGTAGGCTTTATTCAGCTTCTCAAGTCAGAACCTGCAAGGGTGGTAGAGGCAGAAACCCTCATAACATTTAAGAAGGATTTAGACATGCACTTGCAATGTCAAGGCATACAAGTGCTGGAAAATGGGATTAAAATACTTAGGTGGTTGTTTTTGACTGACACAGGGACTCGATGGGCCAAAGGGCCTCTTTCTTTGTTGTGGACCCATATGAAACTAAGGGGCATATTTTTCAGTTGAGAGGAAAAAGATTTAAAAAGGACATGAAGGGCAACATTTTTGTTTACACAGAGGATGGTTTGTGTGTGGAATGAACTTCCAGACGAAGTGGTGGATGCAGGCACAGTTACAACATTTAAAAGACATTTGGATAAGTACATGAATAGGAAAGGTTCGGAGAGATAAGGGCCAAATGTAGGCAAGTGGGACTAGTGTGGTTTGAGAACAAGGTCAGTGTGAACTAGTTGGACCGAAGGGTCTGTTTCCATGCTGTATGACTCTACGACAGCCTTGGAATCCCTTCTATTGATCTTCACCTTGAAGATATCAATTGAGCTACAAATGACACTGTGGGAATCCAGAATTCCACTAATCTGTGACTTTTTATTTATCTGCATGGGAATGTTCTAAGGATCGAAATGGTGTCATTCATCCTAATTTTTCTTTACTATCTCTTCATGGCACAACTGCTTATTGACTTAACAATGGAGATAGACTTCTCTTTTGATTGTTAAATTTGTAAATGACTGACAGTTACCTGGCATTAGGTTTGCACAAGCGAACAGACGTTTCTCTATAACGGAACATTCCTTCACAAATTCCTCTGGAGTGAGTGGAAGTTCCAGTTTGTCACAAATAATTTTGGCCACAGCCATGGACTGCATACCCATAATCGTGGATTTCAACTCCCATGTAAACTTCTTATTGTAACGTCCACAGACTTCATCGAACACAAGAGTGTACAGTCTTTCCGTGTCTACGAGAGAAAGGAGAGAATCAGAGAAGCAAATAACACTACGTGCAAAAAGATTCAACCGCTCCCTTCCCCTGCTCAATCAATGGAACTGGAATGTACTATGTTAACGTGCAGTTTCGTAGATGCAGAAGTAAAGGAGTAAAGAGCATGACTTATCTGATAATCCTCAATTCCACTCTCCTGCCCTTTCCCTATAACCCTTGACTAATTCAGGAGATTTGATCCACATCTGCTCTCAGCTCTGGAAATGCTGTGAATGCATAACATTGGTCTGGGTGCAGCCATCATCCACAGGAAGGGAAGGAGGGCGTGAAGAAAAGAAGTCCTTTGCATTTATGCAGAGCTTCCCATGGCCACAGGATATCTCAAAGAGGTTTACAGCCAATAGAGTGCTTTGAAGTATACTTATTTTTGTGAGAAATGCAGAAACTAGTTTACCTGCAGCAAGATCATGCAAGTTGCAATGCAACAACGACCAGATTATTTGTTGAAAGAATATTGATAGAGAGATAAATATTAGAAGGATGCAGGGAATAATCACCTTTGCCAAAATAGTACCATGGGAACTTTTACATCAATTGACAGGATGGACAGGATCTCACCCTGTTTAAAGTCTCACTTAAAATGACAATTAAAAAAAGACCAAGTTGCCATAGTTCTAACAGACTTCATTAGAGAGACATGACTTGGTGGCAAGTTAACCTGAGGGTCTCCATACCTCAGGTGAGGGGAGAGGTTGAGAAGGAGAGTCCTTCATGGTAATCCCAGCCAGCGCAGGAACTGAACGCCTTCTGTCCGCATCACGCTGCATCGCGAATCAGCTGTCCAGCCAACTGAGCTAACGACCCTCCCAAAAGACAGAACCCCCAAAGGTGCAGCTTCCACTGACTCTAACCATGGCACCTCAGCCTTGATTTCTACGTTCAAGTCCTTGAGCTGAACTTGGATCCAGGACTTTACGACTTAGAGGCAAGCAAATGAGCAACAGAGGACTGTGTTACAGCAGAAAATCTCCCATGGCATTGCTCACTACAAGACAGAAGATACAATAGTTTGTTTCTAAATGGACAAGAACATCATGCATATGATATTCTGCTGCTGAAATATGTAAAGTGGATTTCCCGCTTAAGGATATGTTTAAAAATTCCTTCATGAAATGCAGGTGTCACTGGATGGGCCAGGATTTATTGCCCATCCTTATTTGCCTTTCTGAAGGTGGTGATGGGCTGCCTTCTTGAACTGCTGCAGTAGTTGGGGCGTAGGGAAACTGTTCATTGGCAGTGAAGGGAGTGACTACTGAAGGCAGTGAATGGGTCAGTCATGCATCATGATTTGTCCTGAGTCATGCTGAGCTTCTTTAATGTGAAGCTGTACAGGCATTTTTAATTCATTCAGGGGATTTGTGCTTCTCTGGCTGTCTGCCATTTATTTCCATAAGACAATAAGGTATAGGAGGAGAAACAGGCCATTCAATGAAATCAAGACTGATTTGGCAATCCTCAACTCCACTTTCCTGCCTTTTCCCCATAACCAAGGGGAGGCAATGGCTAGTGGTATTATTGCTAGACTATTAATCCAGAGACCCAGGTAATGTTCCGGGGACCTTGGTTCGAATCCTGCCACAGCAGGTTGTGAAATTTAAATTCAATAAATATCTGGAATTAAGATGACCATGAATCCATTGTCGATTGTGGGAAAAACCCATGTGGTTCACTAATGTCCTTTAAGGAAGGAAAAGGCCATCCTTACCAGGTCTGGCCTAAATGTGCCTCCAGACCCAGACCAATGTGGTTGACTCTTAACTTAGGGATGGGCAATAAATGCCTGCCTAGCCAGTGATGCCCTCATCCCATGAATGAATAAAGAACAAAGGAACCTCAATTTCCTTACTGATTAGTCTCAGTCTTGACTATACTTAATGACCCAGGCTTAACTACCCTCTGCAATAAAGAATTCCACAGGTTTATTACGATAGAAAAAAATGCCTTCTCATCTGTGCCTTAAGTGCGTTACGCCTTGTTCTAAGATGCTGCCCTCTGATCCTAGACTTTACCACAAAAGGAAACAACTTATCACCTACACTATCAACCCCCCTAAGAATTTTGTGTGTTTCAGTAAGGTCATCTTTCATTCTTCTACTTTTTCTGAAGTAGTTTCAGATATTCTAGCAGCACCTTGCAATATTTTTTTTAAAATCAGAGTCATAGAGGTAAACAGCACAGAAACAAACCATTTGGACCAACTTGTCCATGCCAACCAGATATCCTAAATTAATCCAACCCCATTTGCCAACATTTGGCCCATATCTCCATAAACCCTTCCTATTCAGAAAGCCATCCAGGTGCCTTTTAAATATTGTAATCGTACCAGCCTCCACCACTTCTGGCAGCTCATTTCATAGACGCACCACCCTCTATGTGAAAACATTGCCCCTTAGATCCCTTTTAAATCTTTCTCACCTTAAACCTATGTCCTCTAGTTTTGGACTCCACCACCTCGGGGAAAAGACCTTGTCTATTTACCCTGTCCAAGACCTCATGATTTTATAAACCTCTATAAGGTCACCTCTCAGCCTCAAGCACTAAAGGGAAAATAGCCCCAGCCTATTCAGCCTCTCCCTATAGCTCAAACCCGCCAACGCTGGCAACATCCTTGTAAATCTTTACTGAAACCTTTCAAGATTCACAACATCCTTCCTACAGCAGGGAGACCAGAACTGCATGGAGTTTTCCCATAGTGGTGTAACCAATGTCCTGTACAGCTGCAACATAACCTCCCAACTCCTATACTCAATGCACTGACCAATAAAGGCAAGCATATCAAACACCACCTTCTCTATCCTATCTTCCTGCGACTCCACTTTCAATGAACTATGAACCTGCACTCTAAGGTCTCTTCATTCACCAACAATCCCCTGGATCTTACCATTAAGTATATATGTCCTATCCTGATTTGCCTTTCGAAAATGCAGCACTTCAAATTTAGCCAAATTAAACACCATCTGCCACACCTCGGCCCATTGGTCCATCTTATCAAGATCCCATTGTACTCTGAGGTAACTTTCTTCGCTGTCCTCTACACCTCCAATTTTGGTCTCATCTGCAAACTTACTAACCATACCTCCTACGTTCACATCCAAATCATTTACATAAATGACAAAAAGCAGTGGACCCAGCACCAATCCTTGTGGTGGCATGGAAATGGAGGGGAAGGGTTGGGGCTAGAGAAGGGAAGGGGTGGGGAGGTGAAGAATTGAGGACGCGGAGGGGAACAGGTGTTGGGAGAAGGGGAGAGTGGGAGTTGGGGGGGCGGTGTGTGGAGGTTAAGGGGGACAGGGTGGTTGGGTGAAAGGGGGGATGTGAGGGTCAGGGAGGAGAAGGAGTAAAGAGAGATAGTAGGAACTGCAGATGCTGGACAATCTGAGATAACAAGCTGGATGAACACAGCAGGCCAAGCAGCATCATAGGAGCAGGAAAGCTGACGTTTCGGGCCTAGACCCTTCTTCAGAAATGGGGGAGGGGAAGGGGGTTCTGAAATAAATAGGGAGAGAGGGGGAGGCGGATAGAAGATGGATAGAGGAGAAGATAGGTGGAAAGGAGACAAAGAGGCGGGGATGGAGCCAGTAAAGGTGAGTGTAGGTGGGGAGGTAGGGAGGAGATAGGTCAGTCCGGGGAGGACGGGCAGGTCAAGGGAGCGGGATGAGGTTAGTAGGTAGGAGATGGAGGTGGGGCTTGAGATGGGAGAAGGGGATAGGTGGGAGGTAGGACAGGTTAGGGAGGCGGGGACGAGTTGGACTGGTTTTTTGGATGCGGTAGGGGGAGGGGAGATTTTGAAGCTTGTGAAATCCACATTGATACCATTGGGCTGCAGGATTCCCAAGCGGAATATGAGGTGCTGTTCCTGCAACCTTCGGGTGGCA